TGGTATGCATAAAAAGGCCTTTCTATTAAATAAAAAAGTTCCATGCTTCACCCTTTTTAGGTACAGAAATCGATAATGCCTGTACAGCTTTCAAAAGCTTATCTAATTGAAAGTGATTTTCTACTTTGTTATTAGATTCGTTGCTATTTTCGATTTGCATCAAACGCAGTTTCACAATTTCTTCTGACTTTTTCCTTTCGTCAACCGTAGTATTAAGGAATTCAATAACAAAATCTTTATATTTCAAATATTCTTTAGAACTTAAAAGCTTATCTTTTAATTCTACGACTTTTAAAGTAGAATCGGCTTCTTCACCGAGTTCCTTCAACACCGAAATCAAATCACTTTTAATTACTCCCTTAAACATATTTATAAGAAATTTTCTTTTTCCTTTTCTCAAAATCCAGTCACCTTCGTTCTCTCTGGTTCTCGTAAGAGAGCGTGTTGTAATGGCTTGGTTCAATAAGGCATCATTTAACAAGATGAAACAAACATTTATTAAAATTAACGTTCAAAGAATAATAGTAAACTCGGAGCAGTAAGTCGCTCTTACAGCATAGCGAAATCTACCACCTTCCTCTTCTGAGGCTAACATGCAACTGATTGGCTGACCGCAGCCAGATACATGACAATATATATATGTATATATATGCAACGTAAAAAATACGTGAATCAGCTTTATAATTTAATTTGGCAATAGCCTCTTTATTCCTCATTTTTTAAGTATTTACTCTCGATTCTAAAACTGTAATAACTTTTCTGGTCATTTCTAGATGTCTATATCGCATGGCTTGCGTAACGCTCATAATGTAGCTAATTCGGAATCTGAACTCAGAATTTTGAGAACTGAAACTTCTCTCTTAATACACAGCCTTGTCTTGGTGAGTCTCCATACTGGATAATTGCGCACTTTTGCCGCTGTTGCCGCTTGAACGTTATTTCGCTTTGTTCTCTTCCTATCACAACAATATCAAAAAAGTTAATATTCTTGAATAGGCATGATTAGAGTGTTAAGTAAGTTGTGGCTGCAGATGTCAATTGAAATAAAGTTAACGTTTAATCTTACCCGGCAGCCAAGTTTCCGCGATGATGATGATGTATGTAGTATTTTAATTGAGTCGGAGGAACCCGGTACTTTTAACATCTGGCTGTGATAGATGGATGCATAAATCAAAACTAGATTCTTGACGAATCACCAATCTTTATTTTTAGGCACATCAGAATAATTTATTTAGAGACAATATACTTTTCGATCATAATCAATTACAATAATTTTATATACACCTTACGTCATCTTAGAATAAGTACAAAGGAAGGCACAGCAGCATAGAGATGTTTGCATGGCGGAAGCTAGGAAAAAAAATGACGTAGTTGCTTACGAAGAGTATGATGCAGAAAGTACATCTAATCTGTGATTGGTTAATTTTAAATTGTTATGTAACGTGGAAAGATCTCGAATTTGGGAGAACAGATAAATTTAGCGGGGGGGGGACACCAAATTTAGAATAATTAATTTTGAGGTCGCCAGCCGTTTCTTAGCGCAGCCATCGTATTTTTTTACATCTTACATATATATATGCTAAGGTGACCAGACGTCCCACTTTTGGCGGGACAGTCCCGATTCTTAACAGTTTGTCCCACGGCTTCTCAAAAAAGTCCCGATTTTAGGAAGAATGCACGACAAGCTAAGGAATATATTAAAACAAGAACTTAATTGGAATGTGCAAAAATCATTCGATCATATTACTCGAAATTTCCCATATAGTAATATTTCTGAAAATGATCTTTTTAATTAGACATCATTATTAAAAATATATTGATATTAAAACGGTTAAATCTTGGACTTCAGCGAAAATCACAATAAAAAACAAATGGTTAGAAACATTTCACCATTTTGAAACAAACCATGTTCCATACAATAATGCATTAAAAACTGTGGAATACCCCAGGAACTAATGCTGTGACTGAGCGCTTTTTTTCTACGGTAAATACTAAAGTGCGGACCTCAGAAAAATCACAATTAAATGTTGAGACTTTGAAAGCCATTTTATATGTGAAATATAATTTAACAAATTTTTGGAAAAATTTTATGACCTTTCAAACAACGACAGCAATCTACTAAACAAAATTCACTCAAACGAGAAATATGCCAAAGAATAAAATAATACTATACATAATTGCTTTTAATGTATTTGTAAAGTGTACTTGTGTTGAAATTTTAAAAATATATTACAATACGATTTTTCGTTCTATGAAAATTTGTGTTTCTCTGTATAGACCAAATGTTTAATCATCCCCCCCCCGTCAATGGCGTTCTGCTTTACCAATGTTAAAATCTGGTTACCTTAATACATGCACATTTTTTCTGACATCACACAGCATCTGAATGAGTGAAGTCAAGAAAAGAATAAATTCATTAATGACTTTCCTAGTCATATACAGAATTTTACGTTAAAACTACATTCGTGTGAATGCATTTTCCTGCTTTGGACAAATAAAGAACATCTTAATCCCGGATAGCAACGATAAGTTAATCGATTACAAAATCTGAGCATTAAGTCTTAGGAACTCATTATAAAATTTAGAGCTGGACTGTAACAGAATTCAAAACAATAAAGTATACATCATAAAAGTCCTTACTCAGCCTTTATTTTATCAACCGTTGATCATAGACATATACTACCAATTACATAAATGTTTCAAATAACGAAAATGTTCATATTTTAGCAATTTTAAATGAATAAAAAACAGGATTTTATTTATTTATTTATTTACTTTTTTAATTTAACTTTTTATATATTCTTCTACTCCAGACTTATAGTGAAGAATATTTTACACCCATGAAACAAAAGAAGATACAAAAAATATGACTCCCATAGTCATGCTCGTACGGCGCTATCAGCTTTACCAAAGAGAGTTTTCCCCCTTAAATTCTAGGAACTTTTCTCCTTCTTAGATAAATAAATAAGAATTAAAACAATTATAGTTATTAGGGGAATATTTGGAAATTTAAAAAATTCTGGGTACTGAAAAGCAAATAATAAACTCGATAGCCTGCTTCCCATGCAAAGCAGCCTAACATACATTTCTACATGCTTACCAGACGGTGTAGTGGTTAGGGGAGATGATTGCGATAACGAAGGGAGCGGTTCGAATCCCGTAGAAGGCATGGGGTAAACTGTCTGCCCCCTCAAAAGCGATAATGGTGGCCGCCTATTAACAAAATCACCACCACTTGTGGCTACTTAGTAGTAGCAAGAGCCTAAAAATGGCTAGTGCCCGCCATTTAAAAAGAAAACATTTCTACAAGCATCAAGGATAATTGATGTCATTTTTTAAATTCCACTCGCTTCATTCGTATATTAAATTAACTTCCTTTGCAGAATTTCACTGGATAACGCGTCTCAACATATTCCTCTACGTAGGTTACGTAAATATATGATCAGTGTTCTAAAATCTAACCTTTCTCACCAGTTTGAGAAAGAATTCCTTTAAAAAAAATTCTTCATTCCTGGATTGAGACCCGAGGTTTATAGGAAGCTGAGTTTGTTAATCCCTCTCTTTTAAAGTTGCTTTGATTTTCTCCCGACTCTCCGGCTTAATGTGGAAGATAGGGCGCCTATTTGTGTAGTGACTTTTATTAGTCGGAATACGTACATTTATAATATATTAAATGACATCTGATCTGTTGATTTCTTCTCAGAGAAGATCATATATATTAGAAAGTTCTTGGATTGATAGCTTTCTTTACAACTGGCACACTGTGGCGATACCAAACGATGGGAGACGCAGTCGCGGTATTCTTGTCTTCAGGTCAAATTTCATTTTCGTGACATGAGTATAATGTATTTTTTTTTTTTAATCAGACCGTTTTATTATGTGTGATCGAGATACGGAGCAAGATTTAAAGAAGCAATCATTTAGTGCGAAATTTCTCGTTACGCTTGCCAAGAACGGAAACAAAATTAATAAAATGTTGAATTTGTCACTATTTGAAGCGTTAGTTAACCATTCTTCAAATGAGTTAAACGTTTCTAATAAGGATAAGAAGTCGCAAACGATGATGTAATAACAAGATAACTTTCAACTGGTGACATCAACGAAAATTTCGTTTCTATGTTATTTTGCGGACAGTGTAATAAACGATTGGCAGACTGATTGATGGGGGGTTAAATTTAGGAGCGATTTACGTTGTAAGTCATTTAATTTTAGTTGAGAAATTTATAATGAGAAACCTGCGTGCAAAGATCATCCCAAAATACGACTGATGAAAGAGTTAATATGTTAATAATGTTATTGATTAAACCATATCATTTGAATACAATGATTACGGATGCTGTGTCATGGGATTATGAATATAGTTTGATACTGAAATTGCGGAACGTAGAGCCAAAAATGCAAAATGACGTTCGAACTTAAGAGTTCCATAGAAACAAATTCAAATTAAAATCATGGCCCTCTTTCCATTCCCCCTCGATTCTCACTGAAATGTCTTATATTTGCCTTAGAAAAAAAAAGTCCGCAGAGGGTGTTCACACATTTTTGTAACGATTTTGCAAAATTTCATATATAAACAAATCTTAGAATTTTATTTTCTGATATGTTTAGTATGGTAGACCTTTTGCTGAATTTTAATATTACATCTTGATTTCGAAAACAAAAGTCCTTTCCTTAAAATATCAAGGCTGATTTTATTCCACTCCTCCTTCACAATCTTCTACAGTCCATCCAAGGCTTTGGGAAGCCGCTTATAAAAAGCTTATTTTAAAAGTCCAAATGCACAGTAATCCATAGCAGACACATCAGGGGACTTGGTAGGATGCATTTAAAGGGAATAGCTTCTCAAAACATGATTGACTCAAAACATGATCTCAGCTTAACCATAGTAAACGCAAAATAAATTTTCCATTTGTTTTTTTAATAACGTACTCAAGCGGAATAGCTTTAAATTCAAAACTCGGTATCATTAATACAGAAAACAGCATCAGTGGCATAATCACCTGGTCTGAAGACTGTAAAAGTACAGGGTACATGTTGTTCTCCAGCGCTATTGTTGGCCCAGCAGAAAAGAGATCCTAACTGAGTATCGTCGGAGGGTGTGTACGTTGCGATGCTTTTCAAACCTCTGCTTGTAAAGCTAACATTGTTGTGATGAACCAGCGTATTGGCAAAACTCCAATGGAAAGAAACCGTAGATGGTTCAGCTTCAACCTCACAACGGATATTTAGGGTTTCGCCTGGATACGCACCATAGGAAACTTGCTGTCCGCCCCGGCATATAGGTCGATCTAGATTAAAACATGCGCTTATCAATAAAATTACTGTTCTTAAATACAATAAAATGATATCTACTAAAATGACACAGCTTATTTAGTAACATCTCGTTTAAATTATATTTGTTTAACCTTAAGAATAGTTACTTTCACGTCAGTACAAATTTTCCTGAAAAGAAAAGATGTTTTAATTGCTGAATAGACTACAATGCAGAAACTCAGGAATCAGATCTTCAGAGACTTTAGGATCCTTGTCCAATTTCCCATGATCTTATGTTTCAACATAAAAACACAGAAAGTGGTTTTTAGAGAGTCTGTAAGAGATTCTGTCCCCCAACGGTCTTAATAAGGTTCGTTAGGAGGAATTTGTTCTAGAATCATAAAGCAAATTTTTCTCATCAGTATACTTCATTTAAAATAAACAGTTAGGAAGTAAGGAATATATAATAAAGCATTTACTATTAAATAATTAAATGCAAAACGATTGGCATGTCCTTTTTCCCGCTGTTTTTGGAAGCAGTGCAAATAAAATAATTCAGAACCAAGTATTCAATCAATTTACTATGAGCTCATTTCTTATTACCATTTTATTAATTTTTAATGATCAGGGAGATGTATGATACACAGCATTTTCTTTGATTTACATAAGCACAAATAAGTACTAGTTTCAAGAGTAGACCTTACATTAAATAATATGTCACTTTTTTGCGATTTATAGAGCCATGTAACCAGTTATGAATTTGGGGGGATGCTCATTTGTATATCTCCAAAATAGGCTAAAAGTTTTATGTAACAGAATACGTGATTCAAATTCAAACATGTGCAAACATTTCATTTTATTTTTTTAAATTTAACTTAATAAATTAAAAGTTTTTAAATTTTATGTTTTAATGCCTTGCAATTTATAGAATTAGTCTCTTTTTATGTGAGTCTTTCCATTTACAAATATATGTATATGCTTTGAATTAATGTCCTGATGTTCGTATTCAGGTGGCAGGTTATAAGCAATGCAGCAAGGTGGCAGGTTAATGCCAGCATCAAGCGCATACTCATATCGTGTAGTCCTATACAAAAAGAACAATGAGAATCCAGTGACAGATTTTAGACATTGAAGACTTGCTGTTTAACTAACATAAATTAAATGAACTTATTAAGTGCCCAAATAACTCTTATATCTGCTGTCTATATAGAATATCATAGAGGAACAGGAATATAGGAATATTACATATAATAATTAGCAGAACAAAAAGTGCACGTTACATGATAGCGTTGGACATGAGCAATGGATACATTCAAACAGCTGTAAGGCCGGAGAATATTGATAAAATGGCCTTATTCCGAAATTAAGGACTCGTTTTAAGCTTGCCATTTCGGGTATCAGTTAGTCCAGCTACCTTTCAGCGGGCGATGGATATCAATCTCTGGCCGGTCACTGGCATGTGTGTACGGTGAAGAAATTTAAAGTTTATTTATTGGAGAAACAAATAAAAATATTCACTTATCATGCTGCTGTAACGAAGATAGAAAATACAAGAAATTTAACGACAAGAATGATCAGATGGACCTGGACACTGCAAGAGTACAATTTGGAATTCCAGTATTGCTCTAGAAGGGAAAGTCGTGTAGCAGATGCTTTATTAAGAATTAAGTTAGACGAAAACGTCGATAAATACATGTAAAATACAACATGTTAACTTCTGTCGTTATAGATTCTAGGGAAATGCTGGTTAAGGAATTACAGCTCGATCCAAAAATTTGAACAAATTTATGCATATTTAAAAGATCCAGAAAAGTTTCGAGCAGTGAATGAATTAAATGTAGGACCGAATATGATGAGATAATCGATGACATTTTGTTTTGTAGAAAAACAATAAATGGTAACTTAGAACTAAAACCAGTCATTCTAACTGTTTTGATACTAGATGTTATGTTTTTCAGGAGTTACATGTGCTGAAATTGTGCATATGGAGGGGAGGTAAACCATACAGATAGTTAAGGAAGTTGTTTTCTTCCATAAGTTGCAACAAGGTACCAGTATGTCCATAGCTGTGTCTCATGCCAGAAGTAAAAATACATAAATTTCGCACCCAGCCGACCATTTAAATACAGCGTGTTTAAAAAAGAATATACGTATTTCGAATGCATATATTTATTAAACTGTATGACATACGAATATGAAACTTTACACACATGTGTACGAATCTCTCAAGTTCAGATTACAGATGTTCAATATGTCTTACATCAGCGACACGAACAATATCACTTCGATGCTCAAATTCCTGACATACTCCGGCAAGCATGTCCGTCGTCACTGACGTTATGACAGTACGAATCCGGTTCTTCACCTCTTCCAGGTTCTGGTGGAGTGGTGGTACATAAAAGTTGTCTTTAATGAAACCCCATAGGAAGAAGTCATAGGATATCAAATCCGGTGACCGCGGAGGCCAGCTGAGATGCTAAGTCGCCAGCTCCTTGACGACCAATCCAACGGTTCGCTAGAGTTTCATTCAGATAATCGCGCACTTTACAACACCAGTGAAGGGGTGCCCCGTCTTGTTGAAAAATGAAGTTGTCTTCGTACTGCCTCGGAAACAACCAGTTTTGTAATATAGCGAGATACTGCTGATCGTTAACCGTGTTTCCATCAAAGAAGAATGGGCCGTAAACAGATGATCGGGTTATCGCACAAAACACATTGATTTTGGCCGAATCTCGTACATGTTCAATGGCTGCATGTGGTTTCTGTAGGCCTCAAATTCGAAAACTGTGTTTGTTTACATGACTGCTAACGTGAAAAGTCGCTTCATCACTGAACACGATGTGAAAGTGTTATCATTGTCAATAGCATCTATAATCTCGTTACAAAATGCCACACGTTTGCGTTTGTCATCAGGACGTAGAGCCCGTAACAAATGTAACTGACTTGTATGGCTTCATAACCAAACGACGTCTGAAAACACGCCAAACTGTTGTTGTAGGCGGTTGTAACTCCCGACTGGCACGACGAGTTAATTTTGAAGGACTACGTTGGAAAGCAGTTTGAATTCGTGCAACATTTTCGTCGAGAATACAAGGGCCGCCAGGACTCTTTCCTTTACATACACATCCTGTATTTACAAACTGTCGATACCATCTGCGAATGTTCCACCCACTCGGAGGATCACTTTGGTACCTCAACTTGAAACGTCTTTGCACCGTAAACACGGTATTGCACTTCGCAAACTCAAGAACACAAAATAATTTCTGCTGCGGAGTAACCATTTTAAACATGTGACGATTACCACGCAAAACAGAAGACAACTGACATCTAGCGGCTATTAATATAAACTTGACTATGTATTCGTTTCGACAATAGCCAGCTGATGTGCAGTGATTGACAGTTGGAACAAAATAACACTTTATAAATACGTATATTCTTTTTGAAACACGGTGAATTATAAGATCTAGTTTTTCAAAGGAAATTTTAATAGTAGATTTGTCATGCTTTACCCTAAAAATCACATAAATAAAGCACATTATTTGTTAGTGACTGCTAATATATTTTCCCCTAAGTTATGTGAACTAAAACATTTACGTCGCACTTCAGCTAATGTCGTAGCTAACACACTTTTAAAGGATATGTTTTAAAATGCGGAGGTCCACTAAAAATAATTTCAAATAACGGACTGCAATTTGTAAGTAACATTTTTGAAATGCTGTGCACAGACCTGAAAATAACAAATGGAATTAAATATTTATGAGCACGTGAACCGATATCTAGTATAAACAATGCATTGTTATGGGAGAAAATATCACAGCAGCTGGGATTTCAACATTGAAGAATTAGCGTATTAACATCCGAAGAACGAATTATTTCCAAGCTGAAAATAATGACGTTCTTAGATAGGTTATTTTTTATGCAGGAGAGGAAACTACAGAGTGTCAACAAGACATTCAAAAGTTAACCAATTAGGCGCTCAAAATATCGGATAAGGCCAGGGACAGGCAAATATTGAATTATGATTAAAGACAGACGGATGTAGAAGTAAAGATGAGAGAAAAATTTTGAAAATCAATCATAGGATGTCATGCAGAGAAAGATGAATTAAGCAAATTTGATCCCAAATTTGTAGGTCCGTATGCAGTTGTGAAAGTGAGAGGTATTCTAATATTTTTTTAATCAATTTTGGGGCAGACAAACTCTATGAACATCAATCAAATTAAAAATATTTACGACAGAGAGGATATACCATTGTTGAGAGGTACAGGAATTCAGGCAGGGGTATCGCGTGGAATGCAGACAGAGATACAAGGCAAGGTTCAGCAAGAAGGCTTTTCAAGAAATTTGTTAAAAAGTCGTCAGAGAGTAGAAAAGAGGGAGAGGTAAAAAAGCGGCATATGAAAAAGTGCGACTGGCAAGAGGTTCAGAAAAACGGAAAGACAGGATAAGGGACAGACAAAAATAAATGTGAAGATCTATGACTATTATGGCAGCAAAAAAAAAAAGCTGTGCGGCAAAAAAATTGATATGTGATGGCCAAATACAAAGCCCTACGAAAAAATGGTAGTCCAGCAATAAAGCCGTAAAAGAAAACAAGAATTATTGCCATTGTCAAGAAAGATTTTTTGGCCGGTAACAGAAGCTGAACGAAAGGAGGATGAAGTACCGAGTTCCAACACCAAGGTCTCGCAAGAGCCCAGGCAACAAACAGAAGTTACATTCAGGTGACAAGCAGGAAAAGAAAAGCGGAAAATGAAGATGAGGTACTACTTTAATGACGCAAGGTCAAAAAGTTCAAGCAGCAGCACCGAAGGATTTATGTGGTCAGGACATCATCACTAAAATCGCAGCACGACGGGCAGTCCAAAAGCAGTCTATTTGAAGGTGTATAGTCTCGGAGCAGTTCTCGAAATTATCAATAAATCGAATGCAGCAAGACCCCGAAGTCCATAAGCCAGGACTGGTGTTATCGAAAACTGGTGAATTGTAACACTACGAATCGCCATGAAATGAAAAAATAAAAACTATTATTATG